GATGTATGAGGTTTTCATTTTGGGAGCTTTCCCTTTGGGCTTTATTTTGGAGTTTTGACAGTTTTTCTCTTTATCTGGTCTCCAGGCTTATTGGGATTTTTTCTCATTAGTGTAATTATTGACAAGCTACAGAATTACACTTCCCTTTCCCTCAGGGTCTTCTTTCCAAAATTTCTTTGCAGTCCAGCTGGCAATTTCCTCTTTATAGATTGGAGAGGGTTGGGAGATACTTCTTTTAAACCTCTCATGGAAGGAAAGAAGGTCTGAAAATGAAATCATAGAATTGTTAATTCTATCCCCATTCAGATATGGCTTTCTTGAGATGATATCAATAAATCCTGATATGGAGATCAGCAGAATTATTTACCATTTCTTTTTTGATCAAGTAAAGGCTTTGCCTCTATTTGTATTATTTGCAAACTGCTTATCTCTGAACTTGACAGGTTTGTCTAAGAGTTTGTCCAAATTAATAAACTTGCTCAACATCAGAGCCAAGAATGTTTCCTCTCCAAGGCATAGAATGCTCCCATCAATTCCCAAATTCAGTTTAAATGACAGGGTACAAATAAAACAAAAACAAAGTGGAATTTCCTTCAGATTTATCATCCATAACATTTATCAGGGCCTGGCATCCTTAGGATTTGTGCAGACAATGTAAATTTTACAATTATTGCTTAGGGAAGAATTATCTATGTAAGAAATATTTGAGGGCCCCTAAGAAAGATATAAACTGCTGCTCTGGATCTTTTATTTATGCTCATTATAAAAGAGAAGTTAGCAGGGTTTCTCCAGGAATGAATAGGAAATGCCTGATATGAGGCTGAGATGGTTTTTTCCCTGGTTAAATTTCCAGGAGTAGCTTTAGGATTCCTTCCCAAACTGTGCTTGATGATTCTGTTGTAGAAAAGCCTCATTTTTAACCAGTTTTCAAACTTTCCTGTGCTGGATTTGCATGAAGAGTATCCCTGGAAAACCGGTTGCGAATTAGGTGTATCTCATTATTTTAGGGACCCAATTCTTTAGAGACTTATAGAAGTATTTAAATATTTGTGAAGACTTCTTATGTTGTTTCTGTGCCTCTTTTAGCATCCTCTAAAAACCTCTGAGACTTTTTATAATTGTTTAGGAAATTTGTGGATTCATTTTCCAGGAAAGATGGAGAGAGACTCTTTACAAGGACCTGGACAGAGGGAATGGTTTCCCAGTGCCAGAGGGCAGGGCTGGATGGGATACTGGGAATTAGGAATTGTTCCCTGGCAGGGTGGGCAGGCCCTGGCACAGGGTGCCCAGAGCAGCTGTGGCTGCCCCTGGATCCCTGGCAGTGCCCAAGGCCAGGCTGGAGCAGCCTGGGACAGTGGAAGGTGTCCCTGCCCATGGCAGGGGTGGCACTGGATGGGATTTAAGGATCCCTTCCAACATAAATTGTGATTCCATGATTTTTATGTGACCTCAAAGCCCATCCAGTGCCACCCCTGCCATGGACAGGGACACCTTCCACTGTCCCAGGTTGCTCCCAATGTCCAGCCTGGCCTTGGGCACTGCCAGGGATCCAGGGGCAGCCACAGCTGCTCTGGGCACCCTATGCCAGGGTCTCCACATTTTTCCATATGTTCTGATCCAGTGCCAGGCTGAAAAGAGGCTCTGGTTTATCCCTGAACACAGGCAGTGATTATTTAGTCTGGGATTTTAGTGTCTGGTGACTTTTCCATGATTCCCAGCAGGGCTGATGAAGTTGTTCCCAACCTTGCTCCATGCTGCAGTTCTGGAGAAGCCCCTGTAATTCATTCTGGTTTGTCAAATAAGGGCTTTTTTCAGAACAGCACATCAATCTGAGGTTGGAGCTTCAACAAATCTTTGGAGCCATCTAATGGGGATGTAAAAACGTTGGTTTTGGTCAATTATCTTTGATCCAGGCACTTTCTGCTGTTAATGAGAGAAGTGCTGCCCTCTAAGATACACAGGTGAGTCTCACTTCATGGTAAAGGTGGGCATTGCTGAGACATCAGTGAGATAACAAATGTGTCCTGTATTTGGGTGAAACAGGGAGATTTTGAAGTATTTTACTCTGAGTCTGTTACTGATTTTAAGGAAGAGAGCCCAGGGGGTGTCTGCTAACCCAGAGTCTGCTTTGAATGCCCCTTGTGATTTCACCCACTGTTGGTCACTTGCTAAATTGTGATTATAAAAAAAAGGAAGATTATTTGAAATATTGGTCTTATTACAGTGATTTCTGAATTCATTCACACCTGATAATTTTCTAAGCTATGACTCATGTAAAAACAGGGATTACTTGAAATGTCGGTCTTCTTACACAATCTTATTTTGACAAACACTTGCAAGTTTAGGGAGAGGAGCATTTGACAAAATTTCCTAAACTAATTCTAGTATTTGGCATCTCAATAAGGTGTGGGTTTTTTCCTTGAAAAATATTTCTTTGCAAAAATCTTGTCTTTCAAATTCAGAAGTCAAAATTTAAATATGACAAGTGGAGCACTGACCTGCATGTGTTGGCTGACAGGGAGGGTGCTTAAGATGAGTAAAGAATGACCAGGAATGTGAAAAATACTGAAAATCCTTAGGCAAGAGTTGGGAAAAAAAATCCCAAGCATTTCTTTTCCTTCCTCCGTTTTTTCTTATAAAATCCTCTCAAAGAGACAAAATGCTGCAGATGATCAACCACAGCCCGTGAACATTATCTGGAATGAAAAGAAATCTTTTCCTAATGGGAATTCCTGCCTTAAGCCATTGCTTTTTAACACCATGTTGCCTCAGTTTATTAAGAGTGAGGGTGTTTATTTCCCTGAATTTCATGCAGCTGAGTTACCTTTGGAAAAGCTGATTTACATTCAGTGTGCATCACAGCAGAGCAAACGTTCTGGAGTGGCTTTTGCCTGGACAAGAAGGCAGAAAGTTCATTTTCCTTTTAGAAAGGGGATGTGGGAATAGCAGTTTCAGGAACAATTAGCAAATGACTGAGGCTCAGTGAACAGAAGGTGCCAGCCTGGAAGCACCTTGTGCTGTCTTGGTTTAAAATCCTCTGGATTTTTTAATTTTTTTCAGTGGTGACGAGTTATTTTATACAGATGTTGGGAGTTCTTGGGACACTGAAAGCACACCAACTGAGAAAAGCTGATTTCAACACCAGTAGAGCACCAGAAGACGCAGATCTCCATTCAGACTTTTTGCTTGGGGTTTTCTTTGGTTTTGTTTTTTGTTTGTTTGTTTGTTTGTTTGTTTGTTTTTCCTTTATCTTGCTGGTTTGGAGTTTTGTTAAGGGAAGGTGGCCACAGGTTTCCCTATGGAGCCTGTGAAGTGCCACTTTCAAACAGGTTTGTTCTTCCTAAAGCAAAGGGATTTCTTCTGGGGTCACATCTGCATAGTGTAATTCCTGTGAGTGTCCTGTCATAAACATTTCATGGAATAATGGAAGTAATTTTATGGTTGGAAACGACCTACAAGTTCATCAAGTCCAACCTGTGACGCGGCACCACCTTGTAACTAAACCACGACTGCAAAGTGCCACATACTCTCACTTTTTAAGCATTTCCAGAGGCTCCAAACCTCCCCTTTTAAACCTATCCCAAGGCCTGAGCACCCTTTCCATGCAGAAATTGCTGCTGCTGTCCCAGCTGAGCCTCCCCTGGCCCAGCCTGAGGCCCTTTCCCCTTGCCCTGTCCCTGTTCCCTGGCAGCACAGCCCGACCCCCCCTGGCTGTCCCCTCCTGGCAGGGAGTTGTGCAGAGCCACAAGGGCCCCCTGAGCCTCCTTTGCTCCAGGCTGAGCCCCTTGCCAGCTCCCTCAGCCCCTCCTGGAGCTCCAGACCCTTCCCCAGCTCCATTCCCTGCCCTGGACACGCTCCAGGCCCCCCAAGAGGGCCCAAACTTCCCTCAGAGGAGTTTGATGCAAAGCAGCAGAACATACAAAATTTAAGCTTTTAAGACACTGAGTTGGATTAATTGATTTAAAAATCAATATATTAAACACTCTAATTTACTAAATACAACAATGTGGGGGTTTGATCTGGAGCTCTCAGTCTATGGGAGCAGAGTAAAGGGATGTGACTCAAGTTCAGAACTTCTCCACCTTTTTGATTGGGAGAGAAAATTTCCACAGGTAGCACAGACATACTTTGTTGACATTTTATGTAGGGCAATAGAGTATAGGTAAATAAATGTAGTATAGAAAGTAATCTTACCCTCTAAAGAGTTGCAGCTGGGTTAATCATTAAGGATTAGGAGCAAGCCTGACTTTAGCAGGCCACAGCTGTAGCCAATAAGAAGAGTGTTATAAAAGAGTGGGTTTGTTGGTTAAAAGGGGAACTGGAGTCAGTTGGCTGTTGTGAGGACAAGGAAGAGTTAGTGTTTAGAGGAGATGTCCATGAGAAACATCAGGGTGGTACAAAACTCTGGCAATATGGAACCCTTGCAATACCATGACAACAATTTTATATTAAATACAGTTAATTCTGCTGTTCCCACCTCCTGGGGTGTTAAAATTGGGTTGTAAAATAGAACATTGGGGTTCGGTGTGGGGAGGATGATGCAGGAGTATGATACAAGATGATTGTGCCACTTAATCAGCTTAGTTAATCATCACTGTGGTGTATTTTGATTGATAAATCACTAATTTCCTTTTCACATTCTGGCAAATTTCCGTATTTCCAGATTTTTCCCTCCACTCATAACAAATACTCCTTAAATCCTTAAAGTACTACTAAAAGATAACTGATCTTTTTCTGCATCTCTACTGCATCTCAACTGCATCTTTTCTGCATCTCAACTGATCTCAACTGCATCTCTAATGTATGAGTAAGTCTGGAGCTTGTTTTGTCTTCCAAAAATTCAAAATCAACTCTTGAAACGCTTCTCTTTTCACAAAAACATGTTTATAAAATTGATTATCTGTTTACCTGTGATTCTGCTCGATAACTAACAGCAGGGTTCTCACTTGGGAAGCTGTAAAATAAAGAGAATTTCTTCAAAATGTTCTTTTTCTGCCTAGACTTCGACTGCTACTGTCAATATAGTGGTGACAGATGTCAATGACAACGGACCAGTTTTTGACATGTTCCTCCCCAGAAACCTCTCTGTGCAGGAAGAGGAAGCCAATGCTTTTGTTGGTCAAGTAAGGGTAAGTCAATAAAATTGTGTATTTTATTATCCAAGCTGTCCAGATGATGAGGAAGGAGCACAAAATAATTGTGCCTCAGATAAAAACCCATCCAAATATCTTCAGCTGAAATGCAAACTCTCCGTTTGTGGCTACAAAGTCACATTTGGGGGCTTTAAAATATTGAAATTGTTTTCTTCTCTGTGCTAAATACTGAAAACACTTTGTCACTTAGAAACAGCACATTAAAAAGCTTGTTTTTAAAGAAATTTCACTGTAAAAACTTGCTGGTAACAGATTTACAGGGTCAAAACAGTGTTGCCACATTTTTAAATTATTTGTTTTGAGATAGAATTCAAACGTGCTGAGCAAGTGACACCCGAGTGTAGGAAATTGTCACACCTAGAGGAAATTTTGAGGCCATTAGGGGGAAAATCAGTCAAACTCTTGAGTGAAATAATTGCTGACCTGGTATAAAAATAGGGGACAATGTAAATTTGAGGGTTTGAAGTTGTAAATTTGTATAACACATGGGGGTCTTCTGGATGAGGATTCAGTCTCTTGAAGAAAACATCACTTTTTTTTGGTAATGTTTATTTTTCCTGACTCAAGGGAAAGAAGCAAACATTAATTAGAAGGGTTTTCAATCCAGAAGTTGAATATAACGTCTCATATCTGCTGCACTAAGGTTGGATCCAGCAGGAGCTGTAGGTAAAAGAGAACTTGGGAAGCATTTTTCAGGAATTTAGGTGGAAAATGAGCCTTTTTTTCCCAGCAGCAACCATATCAAAAGAAAATGGGAGCTCCTTAAGTAGAAGCTTCAGAAATCAGGACATTTTGGGTACCATGGGAACCCAAATACCCATAATAATCATGTTCCTTCCCATCCTTATTTTATTTCCTAAGAAATCAGAGCTGGTCTTGGACAAAGTTTGGATCCCTTGGTGCAATTAAGTCAGTTTTGAAAAATGGTTAAATTATTGCTCTGCTTTTTGTCATTGCCTTCCTGTGTGGTTGTTTTTCATTTTGCATCCTAAAAGGCACAGGTGGAACATTTCAAATCAGTCCCAAACATACTTCAAATCCATTTTGTGCTTTGCTGGGGCCCTCAAGGCTCAATCATCTTCTCAAACACGTGGCTGCCTCTATTTTTAGCTGTGACAGAACTGTAAAATACAACAAATAATTGCCACAAGAAGCTCCCTGGCTTCTAAATGAGTGCAATTTCTAAGTTGTGTGGAAATGAAAATATTTATTGTGGTCTTGGGATAGTTTATTCCTACTTGGAGTGACAGAAACTGCTTCTGCCATTTGCTGTCCTGTTTATCCCTGAATGGAGAAAGCTTTTTCTTTATAGCCTAAATATTTGGTGTATTTCTCCTCTTTCATGTTCACAACTGCAAATTGATGTAGGGATACCCATTGGAAATGTCATTCTGGGGTATAGAAAAGAGAAATTGGGGCATTTACATTTTTTTTCTGGCTCCAGTGAGGTTATTGAAATAATGGTGATGAGAGTTTGGGTGTAGCTGTGTTGTTTGATGATATTCCTTAAAAACTGAAATGGCTTTTGGTGTGTTGTGCTTCAGATAAAACCACAGTGGGTATCGGAGAGGTGTTAATGGGAATAAATTTTGTATGGAAGCTTTAATGTGGATAAAATGTACATAAAGAGCTATTTGAGGTGGGAATAGCCTGGTAAAAGAAGAAATCCCTATAGTGCTGTGTGTTTTCCCTACCACGAATTAGCCCACTGATTAACAAAGCTGCTTTTCAGAAAACTTTTTACTCATTTCAAACAGAAATCTTAAATCTGCTAGAGCAAGCAGTCATACAGAGAATTTGAAATAAAAAGACAGATTTTGTGCTGTCCCTTTCCCTTTGGAATGCCACCTTCCCTTTTTACCTGGGGGGAAAAGAAATAGCAAGAGATTTTTACCTTAAAACCCAAGATCTGTCCCTGCTGCTCACGGGCGCAGAGAACCTGGTGAGGAAGGCCATGGAAAAGGTGCTCAAGCACTTTGATCCCTCAGGATTTTTGACTCAGGAGGTTTGGTGCCAGGATTGGGTGCCTGGGCTCATTGTCAGAGTGGTTTGGGTTGGGAGGGATCTTCAATCTCATCCCATTCCAGCCCTGCCATCCTGCCATGGGCAGGGAAACCTTCCCTCATCCCAGCTTGCTCTGAGCCCTGCCCAGGCTGGCCCTGGACACTTCCAGGGATGGGGATTTTAAGCAGTTTGGGGTATAAATCAATCTGAACACTCCCAGGAATAATTCCTGCCACAGAACATGCTCTGCTTTGTTTTCAGTGGGAAAGTTGGACTTTCAAATGGATTCCCATAAGGACTTGGATTATATTTGAGGCTGGTTTCCCAGGAAGATGTAGCAGGAAGGCAGGGAGAGGTTTCCTGTGGGAGAGGGACAGTTTGGTGATGTATTTGCTGGGAATGTCCCAACAAAGGCAGGAATGATGAATCTGACTCCATGTTCTCAGAAAGATAATTTATTACTTTATTATACTATATTATATTAAAGAATACTATATTATACTAAAGAATACAGGAAGGATACAGACAGAAGGTTAAAAAGATACTAATGAAAACTTGTGACTCTGGAAAGAGTCCTGACAGAGCTTGACTGTGATTGACCAAAGAGTGAAAACAACTCACACCAGAATCCATGAAACAATCACCTGTGGGTAAACAATCTCCAAACACATTCCACATGTGAGCACAACACAGGAGAAGCAAATGAGACAAGAATTGTTTTCCTTTTTCTCTGAGGCTTCTTAGCTTCCCAGGAGAAAAATCCTGGGCGAAGGGATTTTATCAGAGAATGTGAAGGCCACATTTGGAGCATTTATTCCAGGCAGGCAGAGAATATCCACCCTTGGAAGTTCTCTCCCTCTCCAGCTGCTCTGCTGCCAGCTGGAGCTGCAGGAGGCCCTGGCACAGGAGTGCTGCCTGTGGGCACTCCAGGAGCCTCCTGAAGATGAAAAGAACAAAAGCCAGACAGGATAATGCTGCCAGCGTGTTTCCAATCCTTTTATTTCACACTGTGTTCTCTAAATTGGGGCAGTCAGAGGTGGGTTGGATTCCCTGCTGCTGCTTCCCCTCTGATCCTGGGCATCCCCCAGCAAGGCAGGAGCACAGCTACTGCTGTGTGCAAGTCTCCACAAAGGGCACCCAGGAATCCAAAAAGCTCCAGCTGGGAACTCCACAGTGAAATTCAGGCACTTTGTTGTAGTCTAAACCAGCTGGAGATGGGGCATCAGGATGTTCTGCATTGTACACTCACTTTAATCAATCCTGGTGGCATGGGAGGTAAAAAAGATGGAATGATGCTTAGGAAAGGGATCAATATATTGATCTGCAGGCACGTTTACGGCCTTGGGCAGGGGGAGACAGTCCCCAGCAGTTTGTTGCAGACTCTAAAAGGGCAGCCTGGGGTTAAATAAAAAGCTGTTGAGCTGATGGGGCCCTGGAGAGGAAAGGCATCCCTTGACAGAAGTTTTTATTCATTTGGGGGTTTATTTATAGCCAGATTCTTTCATCCAAGCCCATAATTCATTTATTCTTGGATATTTTGGTGTCATTGATCAGCACTGTGTGAAAACTCCAGCATGAATATGTTGCTGTCAAGGAGAGATAGCAACAGGGAAGGAAATGAGATGGAAAATGGGGATAAAGAATTATGTGCTCAAGTGTCACTGGTCCTTGGATCTTCCCTAAAATGAAAACAGAATAAATTAATTCCAGTAATGAGAGCAGTTTGCAGAGTGTGTGATACCTCTTGGTGTCACCTGCTTGGTTTTAAGCTACAAAAGAAATGCTTTAAGAAAGTTGGTTTTTAGGATGGACCTATTCTTCCTCCTGGAAAAGTTTGGAGGAATTTATTTGGTTATACTGTACTAGCCCTCCTGAATGCTGATGAAATGTAATTATTTCCCAACAAAGCTTTCTGTCCATGGGTATCAGCGAGTTCTTACAGGCTCCTGTTTTTATTTAATAAATTCATAAGGTGATAAACCCTGGATCTAAAGCCTGATTTAAATTTCACGGCTGTTGGGTAAAGCTTGTTGTGTTGGACTAAATGACCTCTGGATATCTCCCACAAGCAGCTCCTCCTGTGTTTCTACAAGCAGGAAAAACTCCTTAAAATGCTGGTGAGGAATTATTGCCCATGCACATGGCATGGTTGGGATGAGATGAGCTATAAGATCCTTTCCATCCCAAAGCATCTGTGATTCTGTGATTTTATTACATTACAGGGTCTTGTGGAAAAGTCTAGAAAGGAATCTGAGTTTTCCTAAATCTCCACTGGCTTGTTTTTTGGTGTGAAGGGTTTGATTTTCCAAAACCTGCACTGCAGATTACACATTGTGTTAAAAATACAGGCTCCTGATATTAAATTCCCAAATTTCCTGGATTTTAAGACAACTTGAAGGAAAATTAGAGGGGGAGGAAAAAGGAGAAGACCAGGGAAAAAAAGGAGGTTTATTGGCAGAGAGGACAATCCAGGAGGAAAAAGAATTAAAATTAGAGGTGGAAGAGATAGGAAAAATCCAGGAAAAAGGGGAATTTAATGGTAGGAGAGGACAATCCAGAAAGAAAAGGACTTGAGCCTTTGGGGAAGAGTAAAATCACAGGCTCTGAAGTACATCTCAAATACCCAAAGTGAGTCCAGGGCTCCTGCTCACTGCATGACCTAGTGGCTAACAATGCAGCTTGAATTCATCTCGTAGATGTAAAACCAAGAGGAGCAGCTGAGATTTGAGTCAGAATCCATAAAAAAGCAAATCTGGCCCCAAAATCAGAGAATCAGAATGTGGCAGGTGAACTCCAAGCAGAGAAAGTTCAGACTTCATTTCTTATAAGTGGTTAGGTGATCACAAGATCATTGGGAGGGAGCCTTGGTGATATCATTTCCTTCCGTTTATTAAGGAATTTGTCCCCAGGAAGGATAGAAATGACTTTAATAAGGCTTTCAGCACTGTCTCTCTCAAAATCCTCCTCATGGA